GGGCAAAAGAGGGTGTGAAGAATTGTTAGTGTTGGGATGTCTAGCATTGCAAGGCCACTGGAACAGCATGAGCTCCCAGGGGCAGAGTTACATGGATAGTAAGTCACAGCCATCAATCCTGTCCAGACTTCACTCAGGAAGGCAATCATAGTATTAATAGTTATATGATGAACCACATTTGCCACCTGGGCACAGTGCTCATCTGAACTATAAGTTTTGTTGATAGAGCATAAATATAAATGGAGTTGCCCAGTCACAAACTAACACGTCCTCCCAGCTTGGAGATATTACCAAGTAATTTCTGTTCCGGAGTGCAAAAATGAATGCCACCATAAAAAACTTGTCCTAGAATGTAACATTTAAATTAGTTATTGTTTTCTATGACATTACTGTGGTGTACTGTATTTATTACACAAGTCTAATGTATGTGTCTCTGTATTATATAATTAGGTGTTGGTACCCCAATCCACAGTACAGTAAGCTAGAAATAAAAATTATTTTTATGGAAAAACAGCGCAAATAAGGCCACAGTGGCTCCGTAGTTCTTTGAAACTGTATAAAGTAAGTAGAGAGCACTAGCTAAATGTTACTAATGTGCAACCACAGTGTTTCTGTCTAAGCCATTATATTTGAAACTAACTAAAAAGTAGTGTGGCATTCTTTAAAGGAAACAAGTAGTTAAATCTCAGTGAGACTGATTTACTAAATCAAGTAGAAAATGTTCACCAAGCTTGGCAAAAAAAGTAGAGGTGTATTTGCTTTAGTCATCCAATCCCATGTCTTTACAGCATTTGTCTACAGATGTCACACAGGGGTAGATTTACTAAAACGTGAGCACTCAGAATCTGGTGCATCTGTGCATGGTAGCCAATCAGCTTCTAATTTCAGCTTGTTCAATCAAGCTTTGGCAATAAAACCTGGAAGTTGACTGATTTCTTTGCAGAGCTGCACAAGATTTTGCACTGTCCAATTTTAGTAAATAACCCCCACAAAGACTAATAGAATGTTATTTAATACTAAATATAGATTTAAATGCTATCTATCTATCTATCTATCTATCTATCTATCTATCTATCTATTTATCTTATTTTTCAGCTAAACAGGAAAGTGTTTAACCTCTTTTAGGTTACTATTACTATCAGTGTTCCTATTTTTATTTTAGATACAATTTTAATTTTAAATAAAAATGTATTACAAGACAAAGGATTTTGGAAAACTATGGGTTATCTAAGGAGATGGATTACAGAAAAAGTTCTCTTCTTTTAGAGAAAGCCACAGGAAACATAGACAAAGGGGACGGGGATAGACTAACGGTTGTGTGTTAACTTCTGCTTCAGTTGTGGATAGTTGTGGAGCTGTAAAAAACAACCATTTTTCAACTAATGATAAGATGTTATATTAAAAGGAATTTAAAGGTCCTAATGCTTGTTAAAAAAACAACAACAAAGTGATAATATGCAATAGTTACTTGGCTAAACATAATAATAAAAGTACTGACTCACCATTCCTAACCTTTAAGCTAAAGTAGGCATCATCAGGTACCATTTTTTTTTTTTGTTTCTCCACATAGTCATCCTCCTTACAGCTCCTTTAGAACCACTAATGTAAATTCTGACTTTCCACAATGCTGTGATCGGTGCCTTAGTGACCTGTCTCCAGGCTTGAGGAGAAGGTGATAGAGTGCAAAGGTGTATCTCTGCCTATGCAAATACGTTAATTAATCTAGGAATATGTCATGACGAAAAGCTAATTTTCCCTACAGGTATAATTGTGAGCTTAAAACTCTTTTACTTAAGGATTTTATAGTGAACATTGATAGAGTCAAGGACTGCCTGCACAGAAAAAATGAAAATAGATATAAAAAAAGTAGAAAGGTTAATACATAGATCTAAGAAAAAGTTTGTCAACTCCTTGGAGTAACATGGATTTCAAGATGAAAGGAGCAAAGATATGATCTCATCTTCAAAACACAGTAATTGGTGAATACAACTGACTTTAGCTATGAACACACAAACTCTTATAATCTTATATGCCTTTATTGATAACTTTGTGTAAACAGTTGGAAAATATGTGAACCCTTGTGTTTAGTAAATGTTGTACACCTGATTTAACAGCAATAAACTCCACAACCTTCTGTGGCTGCTGATTCACAACAGTAAAAAGATATCTAAACCTAAACACAAAAATGTAATCTATTGCAGCTTACTAGTAGTGATGAGTTTGAGTTTTGTCCGAACCCTATTTTGTCCAAACCTGGAAGTTGGCTGTCATTGCTGGGCCAAAGGGCCTGACATACATAAAGGGGCAGGTATGTTTGTGATATCATTGATCTAATATGGGCCTAATATGGGCAAATAGTCCTATTTGGTAAATATTGTTGATCTAATATGGCCATGTGGCCATATTAGGTGAATGATTTCAGGAGCATTTTGTCCATTTGTATATGTGAAGCTGTGCAGCAGGGAATCTCCCACCCGCAGCTCATTGGCCCAGAAGGGACAGCTAACTTCCAGGTTTGGACAAACCCAAGCTCTCCCCTACTTACCAGTTCTTAGAGATAGTGGCTGCATTAGTTTTTATTTTTCAGGCTAAGAACATTTTCAGGATGTTGGAAAATACTTGTTCATTTTAATTAAATTTATAAATAAATGTCCTTCTTAATTCAGTTGATCTGACTTGAAAGCACAAACAATGCTATCTGCCTTCTTTAAACTACTGATCTTCCCATCAATGTAGATGAATAGGGGAGGAAATGTTTTAAGTCCAGCCTGGCTGACAACGATTGCCACCTTATCTAAAGAACTGGTAAGCTGCAATATAATCATTTTTAGTTTAAGATCAGTATTTTCCAATGAACACCATTCTTGTTAGGCATTATCCTTGTGTTTTTCTTTCACCCCTTCAGCACTGCAATCTGTGCTCTTGCCATGATCGTAGTAGGATATCCAATTTAAGAAAAGGTAGAAGTACCATATTTCCTTTATTGAGGATAATATGTTTCACTAGTATGTGATGAAGCCCAACCTTTATAAATCTTTTGGAGTTTTTCCAGATTAATTTTCCCATAAATGTTTTTTTTTTGGGGCACATGGCTGAAATAAAAAGTTGCCAGTATGCAAACATTTTGCACCTTTGGAAAAGGCAGGGACTCCTCATACCACATCTCAGTTCTCATGTCACTTTTTTTCTTAAAGATTCCCTTACTTTTTCTATCTAAAACCTTGTGTAGCCAGGTGTTGGCTGTGTTATAGTGGAAACCAAGGGACACTGAAAAGTGGAACTATGGATTAAGCCTTTTTCCTCTAGTGCACAGTATTCAGATAGTTACATCACTTCTTGTCTGCAGAGAGAAAGCTAATTTTCGGAGAGATAACAGAGGATCTTGGGACCTGTAGTCCTGCTGCCATCACACACTGTGTTTCTGAGTGCTGATTGAACAACACATCCAAGAAGGCTGGCCTAGAAAAGAGAATTGTGGAAGAGCTCATATATTTGACTGCACAAGCTGAATACAAGCTGAAAAAAAGGAATTTGGCTATACAGATATTATCAAAGCGATGAAGTAGCTCGTTTATTAGAAAAAAGCTAAATAATTATAAACCTTTATGTATAACCACGTCAATGCTGAGATCCAATAATAGGGCTAACGACTTGTCAATAGTATAAACAGTTTTCTGTTGTATGTCTTGTAGGACATAAATGACATCTTTCTTTGGTTCATATACAGAAACAACTTATGTCTTACAGTATGCTCAGCCACCTCTGAAATGGACCTTGGATGCCTGTCTCTGTGCCAGGCAGCTGAATACCAGCTGTTGCATCTATATTTCTGCCAGGGCCTGTTGCTGTGTATTAATCTGGGTTTAACACTGGCAGGACGTTACCAAACAGTTGCTTAGGGGGTGAGTGACATAAAAGCTAAACGTTTCCAAGCGTGGCCATTTTAAAGCTCATTAGCTTTACTACACAGAAACACAGCAGCCTAGCACATTAGGAATTGGCCGCCTGGCATGGTAGGAAAATATTTTATCCTCTATGACAAAGGTGTCAAAATAGTTATTTTGCCTAAACTGACAGGGTGTCATATCACCCAAAGCCAAAAGCTGACTACTGGAAGTAATATCTAACCCGATCAAGGGGAAGTGAGATATTTATTCTTACTTACTGAGAAGAGCCTGTGATGTGAAGACTGGTCCACAGACACACATGTGACAATACTGTGGATGGTGTTATACTAATAAAAATACATATATTCTAGGATGACAAGCTACGCAAGGGAAAAAAAGGAGAGCAGCAGTAGTTAAGATAAAAAGAAGAGCCAACAATTTTGTTTAGACACTAAAGAACTGATTTGCTATGAAGTGTACTCTATATATGCAAAAAAAAGATGTTTTGTGGTTCAGACCCCAATAGCTTACTTGGCCTGGAATCCCCAGCCATGTAACCAAAGACGCCAGAGATAGTTTTGGGTAACAAAAAAAACAAACAAAAAAGTTGGGTCTGGTATGGATTTTGCAAAAATGTAGGCAAAAAGTGTGAGGTCCCCCCAAAAATTCATACCAGTCCCTTATCTGAACATGCAACCTGACAGGCCAGGGAAGGGGAGAGGGGGTGGAATTAGCATGCAGCCTACTCCGTCCTGAACCATACCAGGCTACAGGCTACAGAGCACCTTATCCTTATGTTACCTTATGCCCACTATGATGCCTGTAGATCAGTGGTTCTCAACCTTCCTAATGCCGCGACCCTTTAATACAGTTCCTCATGTTGCGGTGACCCCCAACCATAAAATTATTTTCGTTGCTACTTCATAACTGTTATTCTGCAGTGGGAGGAGTAGTGCCACATCATTGGTGTCAGTGAGAGGAGTAGTGCCTCATCACTGATGTCAGTAAGAGGAATCGTGTCCCATCGTTGGTATCAGTGGGAGGAATAGTGTCCCATCATTGGCATCAGTGGGAGGAATAGTGTCCCATCATTGGTATAAGTGGGAGGAATAGTGCCACATAGTGTTGGTGTCAGTGGGAGGAATAGTGCCCCATCATTGGTGTCAGTGTGGGAGGAATAGTGCCCCATCATTGGTGTCAGTGGGGGGGGGGAATAGTTCCCCATCATTGAAACTAGTGTGGGGGGGAATAGGGGGGGGGGATAGTGCCCCATCGTTGGTGTCAGGGGGGAGGAACAGTGCCCCATCGTTGGTGTCAGTGGGGGGAGGAATAGTCCCCATCATCGTTGGTGTGAGTGGGGGGGGGGAGGAAATAGTGCCCCATCCATTGGTATTAATGACACCAATGATACTTACCTTGCTGACTCCTGCTCCAGCCTGGGGCTTGCGCCCTCCCTCCCTCTCCCATCTACAGCCAGCATACCTGTGCAGCAGCACCATCCCCATCTTATGTCAGCTGTGTCGTTGCTCGATCTTCTTTGCTCTTCGGGGGGATAGTGCCCCATCGTTGGTGTCAGCGGAGCTGGGGGAGGAAGGGGCGGCAGTGCCCCATCGCGGTCCGTTGGGTGTCAGTGGGGGGGAGGAATAGTTTCCCCCATGTGTTTTCGATGGTTAGGAGTGTGAAAGGGTTGTTCGACCCCCAAAGGGGGGGGGGGAGGTATACCCATAAATGTTTATGTTGAATGTGATAATACCCCATCATTGAAGAAGCGTGTCAGTGGGAGGAATAGTGTCTCCTTATACCCCATCATTGATTTGCACAGAATGTACTATCCCTCTGGGCAGTTTACACTCTTTGCAGATGTCTTTATGTACTGCTGCACAACTGTGTACACTCAAGTAACACTTTTTAATGAATATTGCTGCAGTGTCTATAAAGTCCATTTTTCTGGCCTTTCCTCTTTGGTTATATATATAATTATCCTTATGTTGATGAGGACTAGGGCCATAAACCTGATCCAGTAGTTGTGGGTGTCTACAGGTAGGGGGGGGGGGGGGGGTTATCAGAATCTGAAAAAACCCTTTTAATGCCCAGATACCGACCTCCCTAAGTATAAAGAATAAAAATGCTACACCTCTGCTCCTTCCTTCTCCATTCTATGTTTAATGTCCCTCTCTAGGTGAGCTTCAAGGCCTATACTACTGCCCCAATTAATATCACTAATGTACTGGTGTTATGCTACAGACAACACCTTCCAAATCACAATATGAAACACCCTTTAAAGATCTGAGATGAAAATACATTTTCACACAAATTAATATTTCTTTACCTGCTCCTCTCCACATGGGTCAATCCCTCCTACTCTCCGAGTCTAGATACTCCACAGTCCTTACAGTGGTGGTATTCTGCTAACTTTTGCACAGCATATGAATTTTTATCCCTACAAGAAATCTTTTCAAGCCTTTATGAAATTGCATAACACTGATTACCATACTAAACCCATTTGAAACAATTTAAAAAATTGACCCACACTCTCCAGACATAATTACATCTATAAACCTTTCCATCATATGCTGCCTTCTCACACCCTCCCACATACCTCTGAAGATGGAAGAATTTGCCAAAGCCTTAAAGCTACATTAAGCCTTCGTTTCTTTTTTCTAAAATAACAAACATGTTCTACTTACCTGCTCTGTGCAATGGTTTTGCACAGGGCAGTCCAGATCCTCCTTTTTTAGGGTTCCCTGTCAGTGCTCCAGGCTCCTTCTCTTTGGCCAGTGCCCCCATGAAAAGCTACATTTCATGGGGGCACCCATGCAGGCTTGCTCCCGAGCCACCCTGTATGCATCCATTGACAGAGAGCGGGCAGCTCGCCTCCCGCCTCCCACTGGCTGGGCACAGCATTTGATTGACAGCAGCGGGAGCCAATGGCTCCCGCTGCTATCAATATGCTCAGGGAGGAGGGAGACCACTGCTCTCGTGCACATCGCTGGATCGGATCAGGCTCAGGATCAGGGGGGGCTGGGAGGGATCCTGCAGCACAGAAGGTTTTTCACCTTAATGCATAGAATGCATTAAGGTAAAATACGTTAAGGCTTTAGAACCACTTTAACACCACAGGACTGGCCACACATGGCCACTTCTAAATGCTTGATCAATGTTTCTTCCTCTGAGACAAAATGATAAATGTATAATATGCTGGTACCTCATACTGATGCACATAGCCAAGACAATATTGGGGTACTCTCTCTATTGTTGCAGGAGCTTCTCAAAGAACAGCACTTATTGTCATATCTTGTGGATCTGCCCTGTAAGCACAAAATGTTGGTGTTACATACAGTATATTGTTACATCACCAAGCTGCTAGGTCACCACCTCGTGCTGCACCCCTGGAAGGCCTCTTGAAGAAACAACCACCCACTTGCACCTAAACTGAAACCTTTTTGCTAACACGCATCTTTACAAGTGTGAAACAGACTATCACTAAAGCCTGGAAAATGGCCAACAATTCCATCTTAAGGGATAAGTTCACATTAAAAAATGTGCATTTTTTTGCAGATAAAATATTACTGAAAAAACTAATTGGAATGGGAATTGACCTTTATTTATAATAAAACATATTTTATAAATGTTGGAGTGTTTTTTTTAAGGCCTTTCTGATTAGTGGTAAGGAAGTAAGAGGTCCAGTGAACCCTACTTTACCAAGGAGTGGAGAGCAACTAGCCTAAGCCTATCCAGGCCTCTCTTAACCCCTCAAGACAGAGGCTTTCAGTTTGGCTGAGATCTGCTCTGCTACAAGCTGCTGTTCATCTGCAAGGGTTCCCGGTTGGGCTAGGCTTGCTTTGAACTGTTTTACTTTTACTTCAATACAAGTTCTTTCAAATACATCTGGAATGAGTGTGTGTTACTGCCACGGCACCATGCTGCACCCACCTACAAGCAAGTATATTAGAAGCCAACTGTCTGATACTATAGGCTAAACAGCACAGAAAAGAAGATTTTTTACCTAGGGATGAGCAATACTCAAGATATTTGGGAAGGAAAAGTACACAAAGGAAAGAGATGGTAGAAAGAAATAAGGGAAAGAGAAAGGAAGAGAGCAAACAGAGGGAAAAGAGTAATCAGTAGGTAAAGAGATCAGCAAAAGCCATGAGTGCAGTTCACTGTGGCAGTGCAACATAACATTCTAGTTACGTGCCAGAGGATGTACCAGATCTCTTAAAGCTCTAGGAATGACCATGGGTCGCCAAAACTGCTCTATAAGTATAACTATACTATATTTCTTTGGATAAGCTTTCAAGTGTGAATTTCTGTAAGGAATGAAGGGCAGCAACTTACTGTGGTGTCCTTTTATGAAACAGAGATCAGCGGCGATCCTAAGGATCGTTGCTGATCTCAGATCATTAGTGGTTTAGGAAACAGAGATGATCAGGGGAGAACATGCTGATCATCTCAGCACACAGGTGGCCAGTGTATGAAGGAGCGATGTCAGCCCTTCACTAGCGATCTGTGTTCTCCCTCCCGATTCTCCAGCCCAGAGATGGAGAATCAGGGGAACCGCAAACAAAGCAGCGATAATTTACCGTTGCTTAGTAAACGGTGTTTGACTGATCTCTTACTGTAATCTCACGAGATCAGAGTAACAGCAGCCGTTTTCTAGCTTTCAAAGCATTTGTAGATCACTTCTCTCCTCATTCGAAGAAGCGATCTACATCACTTCATAAAAAGGAATTCAGAGGAGAACTCTCTCCTCTGAGAATGCCGGAGAACTGAGCAGCGGTCATTTACCACTGCATGATAAAAGGATACAATGTATGTGACCTGTTGTTCAGGTGTCCGGAAGCAGTGTTCTATGAGCCGGACATATAGCGGGACCTCATAACAATAAAATCATCAAAGCAAATGCATACAAAGCAGGACATACTAGTGGAAAATAAAACAGGCTTTAAATACAGTGACCTGGAAGGTCTCATTTCTTAATCACTTCCTTACTGGCTAAATACTCAGTGGCAACATATGGGAAAATAGACATAATTGTGGTATATACAGTAGTTATTCAAATACACTCCTAAATATAATAATATTATTAGGGGAACGAGATATACAGTAATTCCACAGGTCTTTGTACATGAAGCAAAACGAAAGAAAAAGTGCAAAGTATAAAAAGCATAAAATCTGAAATTTCATAGCAAATCAATTGCTAAACAGCTATCAATTGTTGTCCATATGTATGGAATACATATGTCAACCTTCAAAACAAAGCACAATATAAATGTTAATGCAGGGAGTAAAAACGTATACTAAGAAATGACATAGGATAAATTGATTCTTGACCATTCCTTAGAATTTGTATTTCCATGGGTAGACCGTGACCAAAAAAGAGGCAGGAAAGAATGTAAAATAATGGGAAATGATTAAGAGGTCTCCTCCACAATCTGCCTCCTCACAGTGCCTCTGCTACAGGTCATAGCATTTCCATCTTAAACTGTGTAAGGGCTTCTTTACTGTTAGAGTGGTAAGGGTGAGCAACTCTCTTCCTCAGTTGGTGTTGATGGCAGGGAAGGTCAAAAATGTTCTAGATGTATAGATGTATTTCTTGGTGGACACAATGTACAGGGATATTGAAAATGGTAGCGACACACCTACACAAACACAGAAATACTCAGGTTAAACCAGATGGACAGGTGTCTTTATTCTACCTTACAAACTATGTAACTAATAAGCCAATCAGACAGAAGTAAACTGATTTGCATGTAAGCAGGTTGAAGTACTAGATTACCACTTCAAGTACGGACACTTTCACCCCCTTCCAGTCCAGGCCAGTTTTTAGCTTTCAGTACTATCACACTTTTATGACAGTTGCACGGTCATGCAACACTGTACCCATATGAATATTTTAGCATTTTTTTCAGATAAAACTTTATTTTGGTGGTATTTATTCACCACTGGAATGTTTTATTTTTTTTGCTATATAAATGAAAAAGTCCAAAACTTTTGAAAAAAATGTTCTTTCTTATAAAATTTTGCAAATGAATAATCTTTCTTCATAAATCTTGGCCAAAATGTATTCATCTATCTTTTAAAAAAAGTAAAAAAAAAAAAGCCCAAATTAGTTTATAACCAAAACTTATAATTTAAATTTTTTTTTTTTTTACATTATTATTATTATTTTTTTTTTATTTTTATATATATATTTTTTAACATACTGTCACCCTAGCAGTACAGTGACACCATTGTGACACTGTACTACTTGTGGGGGTTGATGTAGATTTTTTTTCTTTTTTTTCCACTGATTGCTTTTACACCCATAAAGGCTGTAAAAGCAATAATTTCTCCTTCTATCGGGCTGCATTCCTGCAGCCATTGAGAAATGTTGTGCATGCT